AAGTTACACATGTAGCCAATTGTACACTCTCCTGTAGTGGTTCATTGAACCACAATACTGACAAGTGATTAATAAAAATCAAAAGACCAAAGAGGTCACCTTAATACCAAAAAAAAAAAAAATAATAATTCAAAATTTTACTATAATAGATAAATAATTTTATTTATAATATTATATATTTTTTTATTAATTAATTAAAAATAAAAAAGGTTTATTAGTAATATATTTTGCAGTTACTATATAAATTTTTTTTTACAACTAATTATATATAGAAATGATCTACATTGTACTCTACCCTTAAATTAATAAAATTTTAAATAATTTTAATTTATTTATTTATTTAAAAATATTCAAAAAGATATTATTATATCTACAGTATCAAAAACTGACTTTATTTACATCTTTAATATATCAAAAATCATTAATGAACTTGATAATAACCTTTTCTCCTAACTATATTCTTATATTTTTGCTAACTTTTTCTTACCTATTTATCTATTCAATTTATACTATTAACTTTTTCTTATTTATTTAATTATTCAATTAATACTACTTTTTTATTTTTTTAACTATACTTTATTTTTTATTTAATTATTTTTGTTTTCTTTTCTTTATAATGATGTAATTAATTTTCGATAATGTAAATAGTTAGTAAATTCATGAATAACTTACTAGTGCATGCATTTAGAAAAAGTGCATTTAGAGAAAATGCATTTAAAGAAAGTGCATTTAAAAAAGTTTCTCTGTATTGGTATTTGTAGTTTAGAAAACCAAATCTTATAATATAGCAATTTATATTTTTTTTTGTGCAGATTTAAAAATAAAAAAAAACTTTTTAATACTAATTATAAAATAAAAAAAATAAGAAAGCATTAAAGCCGGGTTATGAAGTATGTGGATTAATATATTAGGCTACGGATTTAATTTACTGTATCGGTATTAGATAATCGATATTATTAAACCCCAACACAGTAAAGAAGTATCGAGATCACAAATGAAAAACTGAAATACCGTATAGGATCACGATACCCCAGGCATAATACATTCTACAGACAAAATTCACATAGTACTTGGATCAATATACCAAGCAATTTTTCATATGAAAAATCTTAATAGGAGATGCGTAATGTGGTTGCCAACGAATCCATTCAATTTACCATATCACACTGAAGTTTAAACGACTCGTGAATCTAACTCGAAACATCATGTAGACACGTACGATCTTTCCGGTATTTGGAACTTTTTAAAGCATTTCTGGTGATCTGTATTAGCTAAATCCGGATTGAATACCGGCATTACACAAATTACTCCTTTTCTCGTTAAAAAATCCTGATGTTAAGTACCCAAATTATTATCTAATGTCATCAATCCACCGGGTTAAAGAAATTATTTTTCTTGGAACAGGTGAATAACCAAAACTTTAACTGAATTATACAAAGATCTACTAAATTTAAATTCATATAGGCACGTCCTCCGGTGTTCCTATGATTGCGTGCTTGATAGACCCGGAAAAAAAATGTAAAACATGTATGTCAACATGCACTCCTGAAGGTGAAGTAAACATAAGGCGAAACACTTGCCTATTAATCAGAGTGAATCATGAAGATGGAAGAGTGAGGTAAATTTCAATAAATATTAGAATAAATTATAATTTCTCAAATTTATTTCTAAAGGCAATTTCATTATATGCATGTTCCACGAATAACAGAAATATCGTTATAGATTGTGGAAAGACATTTTATGGTAATCATTAAATTATTCATGCATCAATCGTGCAGTTTCTTATTTTCTAACTGATTTTCATATGACATTGATGTAATAAGTTTCAGCATTGAAATGGTGGCCTTATTATGAATTGCGTCAAATTGATGCACTCATATTAACCCATCCGCATGCTGACGCAATAAACGGGTTAGATGACTTACGAGCTTGGACGTTGCATAAAATAATACAAGATCATGTCCCGATTTATCTGACAGCTAATACCTTAGATGCAGTCAAGGCATGCTTTCCATATCTGGTGGACACAAGTCAAGCTACCGGTATGCGCAATCATTAATTTTCTTTATTATTTCTTTCTCATTAAAAATAATTAATTCTGACATTATGTAGGTGGTGGAGATCTACCAACGTTTCAATGGAATATTATAGATTCAAAGTGTCCATTTACTATTGAAGGGTTAGAGTTCATTCCATTACCAGGTAACATATTGAGTCATACTCAAATGAAATTATATATTTAATACAGTAATTAAAAATAATATAGTTCAACATGGTGTCCATTTCGCAACAAATGAGCCTTATACCTACATCGGTTTCCGCTTTGATAATATATGTTACATCTCTGATTGCAACTTTATACCAGAAGACACACGCGTAAAAATGCATGGGAGTGAAGTCGTAATTTTGGATGCTTTGGATCGTATGTTACTTACTTAATTTCGTTAATATATTGAATTCTGTCTCTAAAATCCATCATGATTTTCATTGTATAGATAAGGAACACCCATCCCATTTTTCAACACAACAAGCTATTGATACATCAAAGAATCTAGTTCCAGTACCAAAAAGGACTTATCTTACGGGGTTTTCCCATGCAGTAGAACATCACAGTTTGATGAAAGAGATGAAGTTGTTAGAAGAAGAGGAACCTGGATTGTGGGTCAGGCCTGCACATGACGGATTAAAAGTGTGTATTGAGGACATAGTTCTGTCAAATGGAGTTGACAAACATTAACTTAAATTCAAGAATAGACCAAACATTATATACGATTTATCGTATATGGTTTATTATATAATAGAATGTTATAGAATTATGATAAACTAATAAACTTTATTTTAATTTTCTATAAATTTCTTATATTTTGAATTAATAAAAAACGATCAGGGTTTTTTAATTTGATTTTGTTGAATTATGATTAGTTTAATTATTACTTATTTTGACAAACACAGTAATAAATATACCTTTTTGTCTTTTGATAATAACTAAATCCTTGTTTATTATAATGTTATAATAATACTGATTGTTTAACTTATAGCTTACACGGATAGCACTATGAATGTAATCAAAGAAATTATTAAATACCATATTTTATTGAGTATAAAAATAATAATTACCACAAGTGGCGATCAAGTCCTTCAAGAGCAGGATGTAAATTTTATAGAATCCTAGGAATATCCACCACAATAAAAATAAATAAAATAAATAAATAAATAATATATGCTTAATTCTGACAATCAGAATCAGTTAGAGATGAAATTTACTGCTATGCTAGATGAAAATAATTATACTGATTTTTTGTCATATAACCCATTAAGCCCATCATTTAATTGTTCTCTTTCACTGATCTCTAATGCTAATCTTAAATCGTCGCTTTTACTTCTATAATCTTCACTGACTTTCTTTAAACTATCCAAACATAGCCTACGTGTTGCTACAAGATGTTCTATCATGTCTCTTGATTTACTACCTCTGCCGCCACTAAGGGCTGATAATAATCTAAATGATGCAATCAATTCTTTAAAGGTATCGTAATGGCTTTATTATTATTATTTTTAAAAGGCATTAGAGATGTTTAAAAATCAGCTGATTTTAAAAATCTAAACTTGACCTACCTATCAACAAGAGCAACATGATACCAAGCAAAGATGACTACTGATCCAAATGAGAACATTAACCCTATAGGTGTAAAAAACCACATACTCCAAATAAAGACGAACAACGCAGTATAAGCCATTATCAGCCAGACTAAGCCTAACATAATTTTGTTTTGCGCTCTTGATTCTTCATATTTTTCGAATTTTACTGAAACTTTACCCAAAACGTAAATTGGCCAATGAAAACAGAGACCTGGTAAAAAAAATGGTAATTGAATAGAAAATTTGAACAATTCGCATAAAAACGAATATAAAGCCCACGGCAATGTGAGGTTATGCTTCTCGTATCTTGAAATATCATTATTTGTGAGGTGAAATGCGTCCAGAGAGGTCTTGTATTGGTTAAGTAAATTTTTTAATGTTGTTACTTCTTCAGATGTTGTGTTTGCGAAAAAATTAATGAGACTAAATATATATATAATTTTCAGTTAGAATTGTCTTTGGGGCATCTTGTCAATACGATAGTATACCTTTGTGTAACTTTCACATAATCTTCAAGTGGAACACGCTTGTCATCAGAAAAATAAAGCATTCGAGTCATTGAAGCAGCATTAGAAATATCCCTAATAAAGGTATCAACGAGTTAATTCATTGCTTGTTAACAAATTTCCGGATATCTCTGAAAATAAGACACTCTTTTTGCACAAATTTAGGCTAAAAAAACTGAATAACTTTTTGGACAAATTTTATTAGTAAAACTTAAGACTTTTGCCTAATTTCAAGAGGAGCTTAATTTCAGAGTATAAAGTATAAATATAATTAAACAAACCAATTAGAAGCATTTATTGTTAATTTTTCTATTTCAGATTCAATGCGTTTTGTCAATGCTTTAACTGCGACCCGATTATCAAGAAGGAAATCCTTAAGATACGGATCAATTTGTATGGGCGAACCGTATCTTTTTAAAATAAATTAAAAATATAGGCAATGAATTTCTACATCACATGACAATAATCCAATGAAATAATAATACTTACACTATTATCAATGAACTTCTATACTTTGATTTTTGCACATATGTTATCCCACACGGAATAATTGTAATTTGTTTTTCATTTCGCTTTTTGATAATGACAATATCATCGTCGCTATTTGATTCTTCAGTATGTTCTTGCTGCGTGATGTGTGATGCATATTCCAATGCAGCCTAACATATTGAAATATCAATTTATAATCTTCAAAGAAGTATGATGATAAAGCGCTTATAATAATGAATACTAACCCAAGACGCACCATCCTTTAACTCCATCAATCGAGATTCAGAATGAGACGTGCCTGAAATTTGATCTAGTTGTTATCTTTACGCGGAAATAATAAATATGAATTAATTTTCTTAAAAAGAACCTTCTGGAAATACAGCGACAATTTCACCGAGTTTCAAAACCTCCAATGTAGAAGAGAATAATGCTTTGTTATTCTTAGTAGTTCGATCTACTGGGACAACACCTCCACCCACCAAAATAGGTCTTGTGAACTTATTAGCAAAAAGAGAATTTTTTGCCCAGAAATGTATTTTTCTATGGTGAGGGAATGTAACAGCAAGTACGGCCGGATCAACGATCATGTTACTTATTAAATTATAGATGAGGCTATTAGTTAAGATATCAATTATTTTGTGACTAAAACCATACTGAACAGTCTAATTTTTGATACCTATGTGTTGAACAAACAATAAGCGGACCTTCTCTTGGCACATTTTCACGCCCAACAACTTTAATTTCTCTATAAAAGCTATGGATGCTCCAGCGCGATAACGTAGTAACAACGTCGTATGATATCCCAAAAGGCATGTTTGTCCTTCAGAATCAGTAGTTAGTATTTTTATTACTACAATCGTCTGTCAAATAGAAACGAGTTCACAGCCTAAAAAATATTTAAAAGATTGACATAAAGACGCGAAGGGACGTTTGTGCTGTGCTTTAAGAGATTTTAAAAAATCTCACTCGATAGAATCGAAAAGCACATTCCCTAACAAAAGGAAAGTTTTATATCAATATGCTCTTAAATCTGATAATTATATAATACGTACACTGTACTCCGATCTGAAGATTAGGTTTTGCAAATGTGCTAAGTAACACGAATTGACAGGTGAAAGAAGACGTTCAGTTAACGTATCATGTGAAAATATCTAATTCGTAGCTATATATTATGTATGCATGTCTATGTCTAGAGTTTGGTTTTTATTTTATATACAGTTTTAATTGATTTTGACCAGTGCTGGCATTCATACAGTTTTAATTGATTTTAACTAGTGTTGGCATTCTATTGCTTTATTGAAAATTTTGCTTACCAGTTTGTTTAATTAAAAAATTATTTCTTTAAACTGTATTCCAGGCCTGGAAAATTGAAATTTACAATTTTTAAAGCTAAACAAAATATTAATACAGCATATATTTTTTATATACATACTCACCACATTATAGTTAGGCCAATGAAAGTTCCACTAATACATATTTGATATCAATTTTTGTGACATATTCGAATAGAGTTATTCATTTTACGTAATAACACGTGAATACGAATATATTCAACTGTGTAAACGAATTTCGGCAAAAAATTTTTTGCTTTCCTTTAACAAATAATAAAAATGCCAACTTACTTACCGCAATCCTCTGACTATTTACCATATTGGATTTTATTTGTCTCAATTTTGGCTATTTTCAATACAATTCAAAATTTTATAACCCTTTCACTTACAAAGCAAGTCTATAACGCGAAACCCGAGCAAGGTATACAGTAAATATCGACTTTAGGCAAAATATAATTTTTAAAGCTAATTTTGCTTCTTAAATTATGTTTAGTGACTGAATTATCCTCGCGTCTTTCTGGCATTTGGACATTTACATCAGCTGTTATACGTTTTTATGCATCGTACAATATTAATAATAAAGAGTATGTATGAAAACTCACTCGTTGTATATAATAATTATAATTATTAAATTATATCTTTCAATAGGATTTATCAAATAGCACTTTGGTCATATGTAATTGCTTTCTTTCATTTTGCATCCGAATTTCTTTATTTTAAGAGTGCAAAGGTTGGACCTGGACCATTGTCGCCGATAATTGTATCCAGTAATTTTAAACATTTTATTTATATTATGTGTCAAATGGAATGGGTGTTGTTTTAAAACTGAGCTGTGTCAGACTTAAATTCAAATTTAAGATGCGTAAAATCAAATAATTCAAATAATCGTGCTAACCATATAATGCGCGCATTTCTATTGTAGCATCTAACTTCAACATTTGTTAACATTACATTTATTTCTGCACTTGCACAGTTCTGAATATCATTTACATTCCAATTTCAATTTCATTCCTACAACCAGACGATATTCAAATTTATTGTTTAGTAAAGTAGTGTAGTATTCATTGGATGAAAGCTTGATTTTTAATCAATACATTTCTTTTAATTTGTTCCAGGCTTCACCAATTCATCAAAGACTTGCCGTGAAATGTGTGAATTCTCCATAATTGTTTGATTGCACACGAAATATACAAATGTTGTTACATTATTATGCGCATTTCAATCTGACGCATCTCAGAATCATTTTTAAATCTATACCTTTTCGAATTTGACATACGAAGTTTATAACTATTATTTACATCTAATATATTTCTCTAACATTACATCTTTAAAGTAATCTCTTTGACATGGATGATCAGCCAATACAATTATTATGTCAAGAACGAAAAAGAAAAAAAGTAGGAATACGCAGTCGAACCTCCCTAAATACATAGCCTATGAAAAACCTCTAAATGCACGGATCTGCTTTTTTCCAACTCATATAACATTTATAAACCTTCTGTCTCCATAAATGCAATAACTCTCTAAATTACTAATTTTTTCATATAAACCCTCAGCATTGCATTTGGAGAGGTTTAACTGTATTTAATTTTTCATTTGTATACTTATTTATAACATTTTAATATTGTTTACCAGATCGAAATACTTGATCCCATTTGCGAGTAATGTACTAAAATAAAATGTTATAAAATATATATCTGTTAATAAAGTTCGAAATGATATATATATAAACAGATTTGTAAGGAATTACCTCGCCAAAGCATACATCTAGTAATTCTTCCTTGTCATTCTCATGTGTTTTAGATTTGTCGGTTTGATCCTTAAATATACTTAATTCGTTTGAGCTTTGTGCAATTAATGGAATTTTTGAGTCATAACTTGGGTAGTAAAAGAAAACGGTGGAGTATCGTTCGTTCTTTCCATCGCTTATTACACGATGCAACGGTGAAATATATTTCCCACGCGTAAGAAGAGAAAGATAGTCCCCACAATTAACAACAACTGTTGCCGGTTTACTAGGGACGTCCCACCATTGGCCATCATAGAATAACTGGAGGCCTTGAACATTATCTTGTTGCAACACCAATGTTAAGAAGCCCCAATCTTTTTCAAAGAAAATAATTGTTTAAATCTTCATAAAAGAAACAATAAAGAGTATATCAATATTAAACCAACCAGTGTGTGGTGAACTTCCAATATTTTCGGTCTTGTCATCTCCTACAGAAGCTTCATTTTTATATGGATAATATTTAAATAATCTCATAATTGAGACGGTTTCTCCTCCCACACAGTGGCTTTTTAATTCAATACCAAGTGCCATTTCTAAACCTTTTACCACTAAGCCTGCAATGGCTACCATTTTATCATAATAATTATTTAAAGAATTACGCCATTGTTCTCCTAGAATATTTTCTAAATCTCCCCATTTGTTTCGTCCCTGTAATGAATTTGTAGGTTGTTCATTAGGATTCCACTCATATCCATATGAAAATGCTTCTTTAACTTCAAATCGATGAGAGCCTGATTCATTCCCTAGCCCTATATATCCTCGTGTAAAACCCCCAGGTTTAATAGGAATTGCGTTCTTTTTTTCTTCAGGTAGTGAAAAAAACTGACGAGAAGATTCAAATATATGATTTTGATCGCGAAGTTGAAACGATGATGTGGTTACATAGAAAACTCCAAAGCGTGAACAAGCTATATTAATACTATCGGCAATTTTCGTTAATTCTTCACTTTGATCTAAATGATTATCTTCTAAAGGTGAAAGATCAATTATTGGAAGTTCAATCGGTCGAAACTCCATATTTTTAAACCAATTTTTGGTAACCTTTTATTTATATAATTTCGACCCTGGTTTGGTATAATAGACCCTTTATATAGTAAAATATTTATTTATAACTATTTGTGAAATCTATATACCGGTATATGTATCAATATATAACATGTTAGATGTTGGTTCAACTTTAAAGTTAAAATTAGCGTTAGTCCAAAAAAAGTAAATCATCGTTCTAGAAGGTTCAATCTGCGACATAGTGATACAGCAACATCAAATGACCTACGTAAGCTACATATAACTGTATAATAGCAATACGTACGTAGAAACTCTCCAACCTTTTTTTTTGTTAAACTTCAGTTCAAATCCTTTTTAAATTTCAGTTCAAATCCTTTTTAAACTTTATTCGAATCTTTTTAAATATGCTTAAACTCTCAAACTCTTTCGATGAGTGTGTCAGTACGTATATCATGTTTAGTTTTACTGGTGAATCGTAACAGTTTAATGAATTCATTTTGCAATTAGTCCCTGCAACTGATGAGAAGCTTACTAAAGAAGACTGGGCGTTGATGAGTGTTGTATGTGAGAAAGTGTATAAGGCTGGTGACCAAGGGTATTAACATTTTTGTTGAGCTTCTTTGATTCTGCCTCCAAAGAAAAATCGTAATATATAGCATTAATTTTAAACAATAGAGCTCGAGATTGTATCTCATCCATTCAAAAACGATTGATTCATCGAAATGCCAACGTTCAACTATATGCTTTAACAGTAAGTTTAGTTTTTTTTTACGAATTTTTTTTTTGTTTTGGAATAATATCTAATTCATATATGCATTTTGCAAAATAGTTAACCAATACTCTTGTTAAAGAATGTGGGATCAGTATTCATAAAGAAGTCTGTTCACGCGCGTTTACATCAACTTTAACAAAAATGTTAAATGATAGGGTTAGGATTCTAAATCAATTAATAAGTTTAATGCTATAGTTTTATCAATTATTATATATATATGCATACATATATTCTTTTTTTTTTTTGCTTTCTTTTTTTTTAAAAAAAAAATAATAGAATACCCACGATGTGGTAAAGAACAGAATACTTGACCTGATTCAAGAATGGTGCTCTGAATTTCGTTCAAACCCATCGTTAAGTATTATGGAAGAAACTTATAGGCAATTGCGATCGCAGAGTAAGAATGACCAACTTTTTAAATTATAATTTTGTGATTGTGAAAAATCGAATATTCCTAATATTCTAATTTATGCGTTTTCCAGATTTCCAATTTCCACCTCAGAAACCTCAAAAAGAACCAAATGAAGTAAGCCATTTTGTTATACAAACTCGAAATACTTTATATCATTAGACTTACAATCTATATGTTGATAGATTGAAGCCGATAAGCGAAGAAGAAAAGAAGAAGATGACATCAAAACGGCTCTGAGACTTTCATTGGTAGAAAGTACAGACAGAAAATCCACTCAATCGGTAGGGAATTGATTTTAAAATTGGTATATTGATTAATAATACACCCCAAAAATTCATATAAATTAATATTTCTAAACTTAAAGGGAAAAATTTTAAATTCGAGTACCCAGGTTTGAAATCAAAATTGTTTTCATATCATGCTATTATATATTGTATTATGTACCTAATTTTATTTTATTTTTTATTTTTTCCAATCAAATTTGACTATTTCAGGACAAAGGTCTTCCTCAACCACCTAGTGTTTCTCGGGTTAGAGCATTATATGACTTTCGTCCAACCGAGAGTAATGAACTCGGATTCTCCTGTGGAGACATTATTAATGTTATAGATAATGTATATAAGGATTGGTGGAAAGGAGAGCTACATGGAAAAACTGGTATTTTCCCGGTGAATTACGTGGTAAGTGAATATCCAATATGATTTGAAACTAAATAACATATCATATAACATGATTTAATTGGGTGTCTAGGAAAAAATATCTGATCCATCACCAGTAGATATTGCGAAGGAACTCGAAATGGAAGTAAATGTTTTTTCACAAGGTAAAAACATTGAACGCCTTCTAGAGCTGCTCGAATCGTTTGATCCACAAAAGGATAGTGTCACGACAAATGAAGATATCCAGGTCATTTCTTTATCCTAATACCATTTCTTTTGTTAAAAGCAATTAGGCATATATATAAACTATAATCTATTTTATTTCCGTATGTAGAATTTGTACAATGAAACAGTACCAATCAGACCTAAATTGACAATACTAGTTGAGAAGTATACCAAAAAGAAAGGTATGATATTAAAACATATCTGTGAATTATGAGTTTTTAATACATTGTTAAAATGTATATCTTAATATCCTTATAGATTATTTAATTGAGCTGCACACAAAATTCACCAAAGCAATTAGTACCTATGAGCAGCTCATGAATGATTCATTTTCAAGATACAGTAAGTAAACTTAATTCTGTGTGTGAAATTAAGAAAACGTTTTATTATAATTTTGCTAAGGGTTTGTTCGCAAATCTAACAGCTAACCCGAAGCCAATTCATCCGGGTTACATCACACCACAAGGTTATGTAGCGCCAAACTCGACTTTCATAGGAGGATATCCAAATTCATCGCAACAAATCTATAGTGCACCGAATCCGGTAGATTCTACAATTTCATATAACCAGCATACAGACCAGCAACAACAACAAAATGTATATCAAGCACAGCAATATTATCCCATGGGTCACCAAAACGGATATCCACCTAATCAACAATCTCAATATGGGTCTCAAGCTCCGCAACAACAATATCAACAATCTCAATATGTGAACCCACAAGACCCTACACAGCAATATCAACTGCCTCAATATATGAACCCACAAGATCCTACACAACAAATGCCACAACAACCACAATATATGAACCCACAGGATCCTACACAACAAGTGCCACAACAACCACAATATATGAACCCACAGGATCCTACACAACAAGTGCCACAACAACCACAATATATGAATCCACAGGATCCTACACAGCAAATATCACAACCACCACAATATATGAACCCACAAGATCCTACACAACAAATGCCACAACAACCACAATATATGAACCCACAGGATCCTACACA